CAAAATAAGTAACAGAAAAAAAACTGAAGTAGCAACAGCAATGAAAAATCAACAGCTTCACTGCTTGATAAAACATAATTGTGTAGAAATATCCATAAAATTGGTAACTCCTCTCTGAAATTGAGGATTAAAGCATGTTCATAGAGGGCAGGACCAGGTTGCTAATGTGTAGGTTGCTAATGATTCAATGAAGGTTGTAGTCATAGCAGATAATCATTTGCAGACAACTTGCTTTATGGCAAGGTCTCAGTCCTTCTGTGGGAAGTAAAGTATTGGCTACTTTTTACCTTGTTGGAGACATGAAATTGTCTAGCTAAACTCCACAGGATTTGACAGCCCAGTGGACATAGGTTGCTGTGAAAATTTTTGACCCTCTTTCTTTAGAGTGATTTTACTTGTTGGTAAATTGTCAGGATTAATCTTTTCTTTCACTAACATTCAGTGGTATGAAGTCCTTACTGTGAATTAGCTTGTCTTTTCCCCCAGTTTTCTTTTGCATACTGATATTGTTTTCCCCTCTCACTCATGTTTTCCTCCCCTTTGAGAAAAACATCTTTATGTGCTCAGATAATATATTGAAAATTTAAAATAATCCATCAAAATATGGTTTTTCTGTACTTTTCAGAGACATTTTCATTAAGTGTAAGTGTATATGAGTCATGATTTCAATCTGTTGTGGAGCAAGCTTTAAACAATAATTTAAATCACCTAACCTAACAGACTATCTGATTCATTTGTTAGGACAACTAGATTAATAGATTAATTGAATTTCTTACAGCTGGTCTTTTTGTAGTTCAATAATATAATAATGAAGTGCTAGTATTGAGTATTGATAAGTAGACAAATAGAAGAGCTTAAGAGCACCAAAGAGGAGAAAAGTACAGTTACCTCTCCCACATCATGGGGTTTAGGGGTGTAGCTACCCCGTGGTCTAGAAAAATCTGTGTGAAATTTTTTGGCCCTCCCTTCATACCAGACAAGAAGCCTGAAGTATTGAAAGAGAAAATATGTTGATACTATGCAATACTATACATATATTTTATGCATTTCTAATAAACTTTTTTTATGTGTCATCTGCTGGCCTTCAAGTGTCATCTGCATTTTCCATTTGCACTCCAATTGAAATTTACAATTCCAATTGCACTCCCCCAAAATTCCCATTTAATTTCTTTTTTCTTTAATTTTATACTTGATTATTATTATACATCTTCTGACTTATTTCATTAACTTCATTAAAATGTTATTTTCATTCAACAAAATATCTAAAATAATGAAATTTAATATAATGTCTTACAGGTAATAACAAACATATACGTTTTTGAATGATTATTTCCTTTTTTCTTATTTAAATATTTATTTTTAGTTTTTAACATTCATTTCCTCAAGATTTTGAGTTCCAAATTTTCTTCCCATCTTGCCCATCCCCCCACTCCAAGATGGTGTGCATTATGAATATCCCTTCCCCTAATCTGACCTCCTTTCTATCACCCAAACCCCCTTCTCCTATCCCCTTCCCCTTCTATTTTCCTGTAGGGCAGGATAGATTTCTATACCCCATTGCCTGTATATCTTATTTCCCAGTTGCATGTAAAAACAGTTTTTAACATTTGTTTTTAAAACTTTGGGTTCCAAATTCTCTCCCTTCCTTCCTCCCTACCCACCCTCATTGAGAAGGCAAGCAACTTGATACAGGTTATACATGTGTAGTCATGTAAAACACTTCAGTAATAGTCATGTTGTGAAAAACTAACTATATTTCCCTTCATCCTATCCCACCCCCTGTTTATTCTAGTCTATCTTTTGACTATGTCCGTCTTCAGAAGTGTTTACTTCTGATTACCCCCTCTTCCAATCTGCCCTCCCTTCTATCCTCCCTGCTCTTTTATCCCCTTCCCTTCTATTTTCAATACCCAATTGAGTGGGTATGTTATTCCCTCCTTAAGCCAAATCTGATAAGAATAAGATTCACTCATTCACTCTCAACTCTTCCCCTGTGGACTGCTCCAGGTTCACTGAGGCCTAGTCTTTGCCTATGTGACACACACTTAACTGTGCTCCTCTCTCAGCTGGGCCCAGTAGACCTTTTGAATAAACCATCCAGGTTGTCTTAGGCTGGAAATTTATTTCACTCTGTCCTTTTGTGGGTTCTGCTGCTCTAGAATTTATTTAGAGCCAATTTTTACAGATATTTGGAGGGGTTTGGGGGAGAGCTCAAGTAAGTCACTACTTTTTCTCTGCCATCTTGGCTCGGCCCCTCCCACCCTCATTCCCCAATTTAATTTCTTATGCCAACCTGTGATATATTGAAACCATGATGGGGAAAGTCGCAATGTGGAAGGGATAAATATTTAAAATACTAACAAGATTCACATAGTTTGATGAACTACTTCATATAACTTTTGGGATTTACATACGTAGCTTCATTTGGCATATTACTTAGCTACTTCATATTACTTTTGGCATTTCCATACATAGCTTCTGAGAGATAGGTATAACTTGTTTGCTTGAAAGAACTGTGGCATCATAAGAAGTCTGATAACCACTGTACCCTCTCATGTGAGATGAGAGTATCCTAGCCTGCATATCTGTTCTTCTTTACTTGTGTACTCAATGTAAAGGTGTAGTACTGAAAATTAGATGCCCAAGAGGGTTCCTCAGTGCATCTTTGCTTATTCTTCTTTCTTCTGCCATCTTTCCCTTTCATGATCAAATTCATGTGACTAGCTATTTCAAGCTAATAGGTTTGAAATTTGCAGTAGCCAGTAATGGCCTGACCTTGATCTTCCTCAGACTGACTATTAATCTCCAACTTGGCACTCACTCTGGAAAGCAATCTATAATAGATTGTATGTCATCTTGTATGCTTCTAGGGCACATACATTGGCACTTGGTAATTCCTGAATAACTTTCTCAAGGACTTTAGTAGGAGGTTATAATCTGTTGAAATGCAAGGATTTCCCAACCTTTCACATCTTGTCTAGGTATATCATTAGTGGAAACAATACTGCAGACGTTGCTGCATCCCTCTGGCAGAGTGAAGTGCCATTTGGGTCCCTGCAGTTTCAGAGATGCTTCTTTTAATATTGTGAAATGCTCTAAAAAGGTTCTTTCAATAATGTTAGTGTCTCTGGAGCCAGTCAGTCCTCTTTTGAAAGAATTTCCTTTCTTTCCTTTTTCCTGCTTAACCTTTGCAGAAGGTTATGAAAAAAGAAAAATTTGCTTTATCTGTTGGTGCTTTAGTGACCGGGGCTCCTCCTCCCCATTTCAGTCTCATAGAAACATCCTTATTAAAAACGTTGCCATTTGTCTGACCTGACGAGAGCTTGGCTGATGCAGATTTTGTCTTTGGAAAATTACAAAGAGGAGTGTTGCTGAAATTTCTACAATATGAATGGATGGCATTTTCTCTTTGCTCGTTGGCTTGACTTATGGAGGTAGGAATCAAGCAAGAGAAAATATCTTTCATGTAACTAAGAAATCTGTTGATCCATTCTGCAAATTGAGACAAGCAAACTTGAGTGTATTGAATGTTCAGATGCTTGAAGTATACAGTAGAGCTAAAAATAGCATGCTTTTTCTTTCTTTTTTTATGTGTGTTTCTCTGAGTTTGGAGTAGAGGGAAATGTTGTAGGCTGGGCCCAATTCAGGCAAATATGATGCTTCAGGCTTAGAACTGAAATATACATAGACCATCTAACAGTTAACCAAAGGTTTACTTAACAGGTAAGGGTATTAGTGAGGACACAGGATTGACTTAGTTGTTCACAGCTTCCCTGATTGGTGAGAAGGTTAGGGAAGGAGCTGCCAACTCTTCCTACAGTGGTCTTTCTATTTAGACCATTGGAAGCTATCTGTGGTTTGAGTCTTAATCCCCCAGGTTATGTCTCAAGGACAGTTTTAATTCCTTTTAAAGAAAAATTAGCCTTGCTGACGTGGGGTAGGGCCTCAGAATATTGTTCCTACCACATTCTATGTATGTATATGTAGGTGCACATGTATGTATATGCATGTGTGCATGCATATAATATTGTGTTCTATTCTCTTTCTTAAGTAATTCTAAAATCCTGTTATCTCATTATCCTAAATTTCCAAATGGCTACATTTTTTTGCATCAAGAAAGCATATTATATGTAATAATATACCTGGTGAAGTCAAGTCCATCATAGAAGAGACATAGAAAAGGATTCAACCCTCTCTGTATCCTTTGTCATTACAAATATGATTCTCCACTCTCCCTACCCTGTACCATATCATCTAATATAGAAATGACTTAGTATGCTTGTACATTTCTGTTTCTATCTTCAATTTCTATGCTACAGATAACTATAATTTTGTGGGATTTTTTTTATGTAGAGAAGGCTGTAGAGATATACATTGTTTATTCATTTTATTAGCCACTCCTGCTGGATGGGGTAAGCTCATCGTATGATTTGTATCACTTTATGTTGAGGTCTGTGATCATGGAGCTAGAAATTTTTCAGGGAAAACAGCATTGTGTAATCATTTGTATTCTGAGAAATGGGGTTCACTTTTTTCTAAAGGTCAGATTTTAGGAGGAAAAGTGTGTACCAATCAAAACTGAAAACAGTGCCATGGAATAGAAATCAAGAGTTATGGCATGCTTATCCTACAGTCTCAGAACTTCCCAGCCTAGTCTAAAACATCAGTAAGAGGCAATGTATGTAATTCCAGTTTCTTGAAATAGACTTGGCCAGTTGACTAACTTTACAGTTTATTAGTTTTATGTATTACTAGTTTTACTGGGTAAATCATCTGCATGGTGCCAAAAAGAAGATACGGGTTTTACCCTTTTATGCATAAAACTTGATTTTCTATATTAAATTGCTATTTCCTTATTGAGATATTTATCTAATGTATGTTCTCAGTCATACCTGAGGAATTAACTTGGCAATTTGCCTCTATCAAACTTTCTAAAGGAGGTCTCTCATCTTAATTTGAATTCAGTAGATTAGGTGTTTTCTCTGATTTCTTCCCAACAGGTACACCCACTTACAACAGCTTCTATGTTTTCTGCAAAGGAGCCTGTCAAGATATTCAGCCAGGAAAACTCAGGGTACGATGTGGCACCTGTAAACAGGCAACACTGACCTTAGACCAGGTAAGGAAAGGCAGTGTCAGAAGGGATACTGTCTAGAAAAGAACAATGCATTTTCCCAATGGGTTTCTTTTGTTATTATTATTTTTCTTTTGTTTATCACTTTATCATAGGTCACTGACAGCCAATGAAATGTCTCTTGAGTATATTCATCTCTCCTTAAAGTTTTACTTAAAACAGGCAGTTTCACCTTTTGGAGATAACTCTTTCATTTAAAACCATAAGAAGTACAATTAGATACATCTTTTTTCATTCTTCTAGACACAGTGGTATCAAAAACACATGTAAATGTTGTTTTTCCTGCTTAAATGTTTATGAGTAATGAATTGGACATAAGAGAATATAGTTTGCAGAAGAATATATTTTTTTCCAAGAAAAGGTAGCCTAATAGTGGAAAACCTAGTTAAGATCCTACCCTGTGATAACATGGGAGAGTGAGTGAGAAAGGTGACCAGTTAGGTTGACCCAAACTGACTGGACTAGGTACAGGACAGTGAGGGTCTATAGGTAGTAATTTTAGTAGAACAATAAAGAAGATGACAGTAATTTTTTTTATTAATTTATTTTGATTTATCAACAATCACTTCCATAAGCTTTTGAGTTTTAAATTTTTCTCCCCCTCCTTCCCCAAGAAAGCATACGATCTGATATAGGCTATACATATACAGTCCTATTAAACATATTTTCACATTAGTGATGTTGTAAGGAAGAATTAGAACTAATAGAAGAACTACAAGAAAGAGAAAACAAAACAAAACAGAAGAAAAAAAATAGCAAATAGTATGCTTCGATCTGCATTCAAATTCCAAAATCCTTTGGATGTGGTTAGCATTTTCCATCATGAGACCTTTGGAGAAGTCTTAGATCTTTGTATTGCTGAGAAGGGTTAAGTCTATCAATATTAGTCCTCGCACAATGTGGCTGTTACTGTGTGCAACGTTCACAGCTCCTCCAACAATGCATTAGTGTTCCAATTTTTCCACATCTTCTCCAGCATTTATCATTTTCCTGTTTTGTCATGTTGGCCAGTCTGATAGGTGTGATGTGGTACCTCAGAGTTGTTTTGATTTGGATTTCTCTAATCAATAGTGATTTAGAACATTTTTTCATATGACTATAGATGACTTTAATTTCTTCATCTGAGAACTGCCTGTTCTTATATTTTGACCATTTATCAATTGGGGAATGACTTGTATTCTTATAAATTTGACTAACTTCTCTATATATTTTAGAAATGAGGACCTTATCAGAGACACTGGTTGTAAAAATTCTCAATTTTCTACTTTCCTTCTAATCTTGCTTGCATTGGTTTTGTTTGTGCAAAAACTTTTCAATTTAATGTAATCAAAATTATCCATTTTGCATTTCATAATGTTCTCTATAGCACTTTAAGGAAGGCAAAGCACTTTACCGATATGATCTAATTTGATCCTAATAACAACTATTAATTATAATACCTATTTTATAATTGAGCAAGCAAACAGAGTTAAATTAATTGCCCATGGTCGCACAGCTAGTAAGTGTTTGAGGTTGAATTTGAACTCAGATCTTTTTGACTACAGGCCCAATGTTCTATTCACTGTGCTGCATAGAAATGCTTTATGAATTTCAGTGGCTTTTGGTGATAGATTTTTTTTAGTTGTGTATTTTTTTCTATATTTAAAAGATCATTTTAAAATACTTCAATGGGCCAAAAGGGAATCAATCATGTTTATGTGACAGTTAACTCTGACAAAAATAAATTTATGTTGAATATCATTGGTACATAAGAAATGGCAAAGTGCCAGTTATTAATATTATTATCGGATCATATATGTATATATACACATGTATATACACATGTATATGTATACATGCATATATGTGTATACTTACATGTGTGTGTGTGTATGTATGTAGAGAGGAAGAAACAGAGAGAGAGAGAAACAGAGAGAGAGAGACAGAGGCAGAGAGGGAGAGAGAGAAAGGAGGGTATTTCTGAATCACCTACCCTATTTTCTTTTTGGACTATGGTTTCCAGAAGATTGTGTGTACTCTTCACTGAACTGTATAAACTCGGCCCTGAACTAGCATATAGTTTAGTTTGAGTTTAGGACATGGTTTCCATTTTTTTCCTGACTGTGCTTTTTCATTACCTGTCTGCCATGCCTAGAATGCTCTCCTCATCTTAATCTCTGTGTCCTGGCTTGCCTGGATTTCTCCAACACTCAACTCAAATTCACTTTCTAAAAAGATACCTTTTTTGGTTCCATTAACAATATTGCCTTCTGATATTACCACCAATTTCCCTGTATATATCTTGAATGTACATAACTATCTACGTATTGTCTCCCCCATTAAAATATGAATTCGTGGGGTGGAGACACTGTTCTTGCCTTTCTTTGTATCTCTAGCGCTTAGCACAAAGCCTGGTACATAGTAGAACCTTAATTCATGTTTATTGACTTGTCTTCTTGACTTCATGACTTACCCATCTGTTTCAACCTATCCTCTTTTCACTCCACATCTCATTTGTGGGTGGAATAATATTTATCCCTCATGCAGGTGAAGCTAGTTTTCCTTAAAAGATATTAAGACATTTCTGAAGACTTAGTTGGCTCAGAGGGATAAGATCAATCTGTTGACATCATCCTAATTACTTGTGTACAATGCAGCCATAAGGAACTCAAGTGTCTAGAGGTGCTCTCACAAACTTGGCTGTTATATAAATATGGTTGACATAGGCAAGAGAGCTTTGTTTAGCTGAATCAACTTGAGGTATCTATCCTCAAGCCCTATCTTTGTTGATTATTATTCTACTGCTATGACTAAATAAATATTTTTTTTAAAACAGTTGAATGACTCATGAGTCAATTTGTTCCACAATTGAACCAATGCTACTGAGAGACTGATGTAACTCAGGTCTAGTCCAGAGCAACCTCTGAGGCTCTGTCTTCTTTTTATAATTCAGCATTCTGAAAGTGTACCTTTCTGACCAAAATCTGTGCTAGATAATGCAAAGTAGTAAACAGCAAAGTTCATATACAGACTTCTAAAAAAGGTAATCCAAAAAGGACATCAGTTATGCAAAAGGACATTTCCCTCTCCTCTCCAATGAAGATAACAATAATAAAATAATAAAATAAAAATAAAATAATTATATTTATAATTATATATAATAATAATAATAAAAATAATAATAAAAATTTTATTATATAACATCATCATGGGATGTAATAATGTTGTATGTATATGTATATTATATAAACATATATATTTATATTATATAAATATATATATTTATACCATATATATAAAATATATATATTTGTACCATATATATAAAACTATTATATGTATGGTACATTGTGGATATCATGAGAATGAACACATTTAAAATTGCAGAGAAGGTTTTAATATTGTTGCAAAAGGGAAATTTCAAAAAACAAAAAACAGACCATCATACCTTCCTTTATGGTGACCTTAAACATTGTAGCATTGTACAACAGTTTTTTCATATGTGAAAGTGAGCATTGTGGCATTGTGGAAAAAAAGCTGTATTTGTACCAGAGTTCAGATCATGCTTCTTCTATTTATTATTGATATTACCTTGGGCAAATAATTTTTATTTTCAGTGCTCTTAATCTCTTTATCTGTAAATAAAGAACTAGAGTAGAAATTTTCTGAGGTTCCTTCTAGCTATAAATTCTATGATTATAATAAGGCACCAGAACTCCGAGAATGTGTGAATACTGCTTTCCTCATTTTGACTCATTTTGTTTTGCATTATTCAGATCTTAGGAGGGAGGGAGAAATGGCAATGTTTGGGGAGGAGCAATATTATTCACTTTTAGAAATTTCTATAAGTAGTTATTTCCCCTCACTACAAACTTTCAACAAAAAAGGAAATAGAAATATATTTTTGGAAAAACAGCAGCATACCCTAAGTTAAGTCAACAAAAAAGACTTACGTAAATCATGCAAACATTATGAAGCTTATAAATTTTTTGTTTCCCTGTTTTTTGCTTAACTGTGTGAGAATTTCAGCCAGCTTATTTCTACTGTCCTTATTCATCTCAAAGTAAGAGGAATGTATAGGAATGGGAATATGTGATGCGTTTACTTGATTCAGAAAATGTCATAAGTAAGGAAAATATTAGAGGAATGTTTAGACAGGACCCTTACTCCAAAGTTTCTAAGACTTCCCTCATGGCTGATTTATCTTCTGCTTACTGCTGTATGTGGTTGTTTGAAGAATTTCATGTGTTCATCTAGGCTGCTTAACTTTGTTAGAGCATGATGCTAATTGAGGTGAAGGTGGGGATTTCAATTTCTTTATTAGCAGAACATAGCTCTGTTTCATTAACAACCATAGGCTGCCCTGATGCTTTCAACAGTCTGTCTTCCATTCATTATTCATTCATTCAACCAATAAATGTTCAGTATCTATTCTATGTAAAGCATCATGGTAAGTACTACAGAGGGTTACAGAGCTAAATAAGACATCGTTCCTACCTTCAGGGAGCTTATTTGTGGTCTGTGAGGTAAAGAAAGACAAAAATAAATAATTCAAGGTAAGATATGAAAGTTTAATGATCTAGTATACAGTATACCAATGCAGGGTCAGAAAGGGGAGCTAGGTAAGGGACGATTGTTGACTCATTGGAACTGATCAATTTGGAAAACCAAAATAGAAACACAAGGCTTGCAAATAATGGCAAAAAGTATCTTTTTCTATGAATGAATGACAATAGCTTCTTTTAGGGCTGGGTTTTCCAAATCAGTTTATTATTAACCACTTTCCACTATTCCTAGGAATAATGTCCCAGGGGCACCTCATATGTGCACTGGGGGGCCTCCATATCCTTTGCTTCCATTAGGAAATTCACTGACAGTTTGGGCTGCTTCTCCACTGGGTGCTCCACTCAAGCCACTCATACATTTGTGTTCCACAGACACCAAACAGTTCTAGGATTGAGTTTTCTAACTCTTGTCTTCTAGTTCCTCAAGCCATTCATATACAA